GACATGAGGGCAGAAGACATGAGGGCAGAGGACATGAGGGCAGAGGACATGAGGGCAGAGGACATGAGGGCAGAGGACATGAGGGCAGAGGACATGAGGGCAGAAGACATGAGGGCAGAGGACATGAGGGCAGAGGACATGAGGGCAGAGGACATGAGGGCAGAGGACATGAGGGCAGAGGACATGAGGGCAGAAGACCTGAGGAATGACTGATATCTGTGTTCTTTATTTTTGTAAACGTCACTCAGACAAGTTGTTTGTTTAATTAACATTTTACATTTGTTTCCAGTGACGTCTATAAAGCGACTTTTCTGTTGTAAACATAAACTCCATAAACAATATTTATTTATATTTAAATTATAAATAACTTCAAATCCTATTGTGAATACATTTGTTTTTAATATGTACGTTTTTAAAGCAGCTATGGAGTCATGAAGAAGAGAGAGTATTGATGGAGAGCTCCTCCAGACGCCTCTCTCCACTCGTAGCTCTCCGGGTATTTAGTTGGTTGCAGTACACGACGTCACCACCAGATGTCACTAACGCTCACACACTGCTCCTTTAAACACGTATGTACAGAGAGCCGTACCTTGAACTCCATGGGCGTGTACTTCTCGTTCTTTGGCGTGGTGTTGCCCTTGTAGTTGAGGTGGTTCGGGGTTGTCGGGTGGATCACGGCCGACTCCTGCGAGGGTTTGTGGAAACGTTGACAGTAGACGTAGATCAGGAAGGACAGAAGCCCCGCCCCCAGGAAACAGGACACGCCCGTGGCGATGAGGTGGATAGAGGTGAATGCTGGGAAATGAAGAAGACACGGAGGGTTAGCGTTACTTTATCACATGCGGTATTTGAACTATTCTGAGTACGTTTAAAGAAACATTTCACCCACAAAATGAGCATTTTTATCAATTATTCACACTTTACTTAACTTTTATTTGTGGTGAACTTTGATGGACCTTTAGAGGAATACTTCACCCTCCACAGTGACCATTTATACATCAGTCATTACCCTTTGTTACCTCGAACTCTGAATGAAACTTAGCATTTCTCTGGTGGTGAACGGAGAATCTAAACCAGAGAAGAAGTCTAGAGGTGTTTCAGTGAAGACGTGTGAGGACGCGCTGAGATACATCGCTTCTTTACTTCTCATGATGGAACAGAACAGGAAGAGAAGCATTTAACTCACAATTATTCAAGCAGTTTTATTTTGATCTTTATATTTTCAAGGACAGGAAAATGAACTTTGGTTTGTTTTTGTTTTCTTATAAAAGAAAGTTATGAATAAAAGTGTTCAGTTTGGATGAGAATCAGCTGTTTATTGAACGGGTCGACTCATTCCATCACAGAAAGTGTCTTCCTCTTCTGACAGAATAAATAAACACGCACACACATGAGGATGCACATGTAATGCATGAAAACACACACACACACACACACACACACACACACACACACACACACACAGGAACAGAGCTGCTTGTCCACTTACCTCCACAGTGCTGGTCCTTATCAAAACCAGATGCTGGGAGGATGACTGCAGAGAGGAGAGGAACACAGGGTCAGACACACAGACGAGCATGCACACACACATGCACAGACATAGACACACACACACACACACACACACACACATGCACACACACACACTAACATCGGGGGAGTCGACACATGCAGAAACACAAAGAGTGATTGAGAAATTGAAATGTCGTTTCAAATGTTCCACAGAGACGTCGTTTTTTCAGTGAATTTCAAAATCCTGGATTCTACAATTCCCACAATGCAACTAGGCTTTAAAGAGCCGTCTGTCTTTCTAACAGGTCACTCAGTGTTTCTACTCATTCTGCAGAGGAGACGCTGCTAAAATGTCAAATATCCATCATCATTAATAACCGGCTCATAAACAGACCGGTAGAGTGAGGCCTGTGCCAGACTCCATCTAGAAACACGCTGCTGATTCTTCTTCATAATAATTCACAAATACTTCACGTCCCGTCTCCAGCAAACAGTAGCAGATAATAAGAATGGGGTTGTGTGTGTGTGTGTGTGTGTGTGTGTGTGTGTGTGTGTGTGAGAGCAGATTTAATTGCAGTGCCACATCTCCTGATTCATTTCTGTCCTCACGGTGTGACCTTAACGAAGCCTCGTTGAGATTTGCAATAAAATTAGAAGTGATTTTGTTTTGTTGACTCATTAATATTAACGAGCTCGGGTCTGGACTCCTCTGTGAGACCAGCGTCAGCAGAACGAGGAGCGGTGACGTCAACGGGGTCAACCGCTAACCTGTTGGCCTCACATGGACATAATCATGGTTCATTAACAGAAGCAGCACACACACACACACACACACACTGGATGAAGCATGATGGGTAATGTGTTACGTATTTGAGGATGACAGACAGACAGACGGCGTTCTAAAATCACAAGCTGCTGAAGGTGATCGGACGGTTCGACCTCACAGAGACAGAACACGTTTACTTCCTGTTTTAAATACTTTGAGTGATCGTAGAGCGAGCTCATGAACCGATCGTCTGTCTCTCTCTCGACACTGTAATTTACTGATTTCGTTGTATTTAAGTTGTTTTTGTATTAATCACTTATTAGAGTTGTATTTATTTGTATTGATCTAGTTTTTAATTCACACTGTTTCACATCTAAATGTTATTCTAGTTTAATGTCATTTCATCATTTCATTGTTTATTTATTTCTTATCTTTGGCTCGTCAGTATAAAACAACTTTAAAGCACTGCGGTGCATTGTGGGATATTCAGGGCGATACACTCGTGTGATGCAGCAGCCTGGACGGACTCACCAGGTATTTCGTTGCAGTCTCTGCGCTGGGTGCCGTTCCCGACACAGGGGGCGCCGCCCTGAGCGCCGCACGCCCGACTCCTCATCTGTACACCCGAGTCATCGCAGGCCGACCACAGAGACCAGGCCATCCAGCCCCCTGAGCACAGGAAACAGGGAACACATCAGAGCCACGGCCTGGACAGCGACGCGGCCACCCGACGCACCGAGCGGTGTTTGTGGCGTAAGCAGGACTGTTTGTCTGGTGCGTAGTGGACATGTTTGTCTCCTGAGCCAAAGCTCTAGCGGTGTTTACCCGCAGCAGCAAAAGAAAGACTCCGACCCAAGAGGAGAGAGAGGGAAACTCTCAGCCGTGCACTCTTTGTTTCACAAACAGTAAGAAGGGAGCACAAGGCTTCTGCAGTGAAAGGACCCATGAAAAGAGCGTTTTGTTATTCAGGCTGCTCTCGAGTGTGCGGTTCTGGCAGAGAGAGGCCGAGTCGATGCCGAGGACAAGACGTCTTTCTACCTTCGCTATCAGTCTGCTGCTTCTCCCCACAACCATCGCCAGGAAACACTTTCTGTCACATGTTCCTCTCTGTGGCCTTGATTTTAACTGCAACATAAAGTCCTGCTCCTCTATAGAACAGAACCGTGATGACTAGAAGAAGAGAGAACTAGAACATGTCTTCAGTGCAGAACAACAGTTACGACGACATAAAGCATTAAAAAGAAAAAACTAAAGTTGAGTTTTTTTTTACAAAATCTCCTCCCCTCCTCTCTCTCCCTTCTCTCTCTCCTCTCCCCTCTCTCTCCCCTCCTCTCCCCCCTCTCTCTCCCCTCCCCTCTCCTCTCCTCTCCTCTCCGTGTTCACTTCCTGTAGTTCAGTCAGTGTCTCC